CACGCACACCCACACGCACACGCACACGCACACGCAGACGCAGACGCAGACGCAGACGCAGACGCAGACGCAGACGCAGACGCAGACGCGCACGCGCACGCGCACGCGCACGCGCACGCGCACGCGCACGCGCACGCGCACGCGCGCACGCGCACGCGCACGCGCACGCACGCACACACAAACGTCGCGTCACGTTACGTCACGTCGCGTCACGTCACGTCGCGTCACGTCACGTCAGATCACATCACATCATGGCATCGCATCGCATCGCATCGCATCGCATCGCACCGCATCACATCACATCACACATCACATCACACACAACACGCGCGCAAACCACACACAGACAACACCAACACACACACACACACACCAACACACACACGCACGCAGTACAGATGTACCATGCAGCTGAACGTTAGATGGGCGACGCCGCACAGCTTGAAACTGTTGATGGCGCCGCAATGCGCATCACACTGGGCCAACGAGTCAGCCAAGTTCTGAAGCGCCCCGATCAATCCGCACACAGTGACAAGCAGTCCAAAAAATCCGATGGAAACGCAAGCGTGCCTCGCCCGATTGGCCGGCTATATGTTTGTGATTGGCTTGAACAGTTCCAACAAGCAATGCTATTTTGAGCGCGTTCGCGAGCGCATCCGCAGCTCATGTATTATTTCATGTGTGACAGAATGACACAAGTGACGTGTTGGTTTTGAGTAGCAGGCAAAAGCTCCAATGCGCGGTTCTGGCATCCCCTCCATCCCTTGCAAGGAACTCGGTGTGCGAGTACGTTCACCGCATTGGGCGAACGGGCCGTGCGGGGAAGAAGGGATTTGCCTTGACGCTGCTGGAGGACGGTTGGCTCCGAAGAAAACCATCCCCTATTGCTTCCTTATAGGCACTTATAGGAAATCCTCTCCCAGTTCATTCCAAAACCCTGGCTCATTCCCTGCCTATCAGCAAGAAACGTGACTTTTGACGTGGTGCAACCTCTCATTGACTGCGGTCATGGCTAGGAGTTGGACCTGCGCTTCAGCGACAAGATCCTCCAAGTTGTGGAGGTCGCGGCGTCAAATATCAAACGGGCAGGCGTTGTGTGCTGAGAAATGTTCGGTCCAAGTGGCTTTAAGGCGGGCTAGTTATATCGTTTCGAGCAAGGTTTCTTTGGAAGTTGTTATCAGGCGTAACAAACCAGTTAAAACCGCAAGAAGCTTTGCGATCCCCACGAAAACCTACATAATCCCGAACAACTCTGCAAAACCCCTACAAAGAGCTGGCCCTCCGCCCACCTACCCTCCCCCCCCCCAAAAGAAAAGAGGAAGCGCAGCGCGGCCTCCGCAGCAGCTGCTTTGATATGAGAAAGGTCACAACCGTTTCCCAACTCTTTTTCAATATTTCCACAACTTGTCCCAACATTTCCCCACATTGTTTCCCCAACTTGTCCCAACCTTTTCCCAGCCTGTTCCCAACTTTTTCCCAACCTTTTCCCAACCTTTGCCCAAGCTTTGCCCCAACCTTCCAACTTATTCCCAGCCTTTTCCCAACCTTTCCTTAACCCAACTTTTCCAAACCCTTTCTCTGTACTGTACGTTGAGCACATATGCCATTTGCCGAGCCTGTGGGCTTAGCATAAAGTTCTTGGTTGGTTTTCGGTTGGAAGAGCTTGCTTTTCCCTTGCTCCGGGTGTGGGGCACCTCCGCGGAAGAAGCAAACAAGCGACTTCAAAACGTCAGGCGTCGGGGCAAAAAGCTCCAGCCTGGCTGGAGGAGGTGGGCTCCAACAATTGGAAAGCAAGTCGAGAACGCAAGCGGCTCATGACGGCTCATAATGAGCAGCGGCCGCTTGGATTGGACCTAACGCGCGTGCGCGTTCCTTTTCCCGTAGTGCTTGCCGCTTGCAGGATTTGATTTTGCAGTTCCATGGGACAGGGCTCCGATTGCGAAAAAAACAACATCTTGCTTTTCTGTCACCCGAGGGAGCAGGCTCGAAGAGCTGAGCAGGACAAGGCGGGAAAACGCGAAGACAAGATCGCGAAAACCTTTGAAAGCCACAATACTATGTGCGCGGCCAGTCAATTTGCCAATGATTTGCTGGAGGGAGTTCTTAATGGCCACATGTCTGATCGTTGAGCTTCTTTTTCGCGCTCCATCAGCAAGGGGGCGTCCCTTGCCAGGAACCCGGCGCTAGCTCCGTGAGTGGGACTGCCCGGAACACAGAGGCGGTCAATGCCAGGGAGGCCGGGTTGGATTGCCAGGCAAGGCCTGTCTTTTTTGAGGGGAACACCAGGAAAACACTTTTTTTTGGGGGTTCCCCGAAAAAAGACACACCCATGAAGTTTGACACGTGCGCCGTGCGCCCCTGGCTTTTCAAGTTCCACAAAGTGTCTTGCGCAGGATTTCGCGCGTTGCAAGGCAACCAGCATCTTGGAAGCCAACGGCCTGCCGTGCTCGCCGTATCCCACATCTTCATCGCGCAGACCTTTGACTTTCTGAGCCCGTGTCAAAAGCTGAATCGACTTGCAGAGCGCTTTGCAAGTCCGGCCAATGCGATCCAGCTGGCCACTGGAAAAATGCCATGCGCGAAACAGGGCGTCGGGATAGATCATGGATTCTTGCAAGAATTCAGCCCGAATGAGTCGTATATTTTTGCATTTGGAGTCCTTCACTGCGACAACAGCCTCGGGACAATTTGGACCAAAGCTGCCTGCCAGGTGTCTTGCGAGCCAGACTCCCAAAAGGACCGCGGGGGTTCAGCGGTTTCGCACCACTCTCGGCGCTTTCTCTCGGCTTGGCGTGACGCGCGGCAAGCGGCGAGGATGCGGACAAGCTAGGGGAGGCCCTGGCGAAGCTGGCGGCGGAGGATCCTTCGCGGCTTGTCGAAGTTTGAAGCGAAAAGGCGCCACATGGCGTGAAGGGTGACCCGCCCGGCTTTCGGGTGGGGCCTGAGACGAAAACCATGGGTTTGGGGGTTTGCCTTTTGAGGGTACTTACGAAAAACTCGCTGTTTTGGTGGGGCCTTAAATTTATGGCACAACCAAGAGAAACAACATTTTTTGCCACAGTTGGCCCAACCTCAAGAAAGATACCCAAATGGTGGGAGGCTCCAGCCTTCCCTCCATGTGCCAAAATCAAACAACACAAGCCTGTGGAAGTTAAAATCGATTTGGTGACTTGGCTGTTTGAACGAGTTCTTGGCTTGGCGTGTGTCCGCAAAGATGCAAGGTATTTGCAATTGTTGGGAGTTCTCCTGACGCTGACTCAACTGGCTTCGGAACCCCGCTCTGTCCCTTGCCAATGTTCCAGTATTTCATTGGGGAAGTTGGGCAGCGATTGGTTACATTTGAGACCTCGACTCCTACCTCCCTTGAGTTGACCTGCCCGAGGGATCTCGGCCCAGGTTCCGCTTTAGCCGTGACGAAGAGTCAAATCAGACCGTGGCCTGGCTGCACTGCGACGTGTGTTTCCCAGCAGCAGAGGTGACTATCCTGGCTTTTGAATTTGGCCATGTGGCTTTACTGCCCTAGGATGCCTTCCTCTCAACCATTGGTTTCCACACCATTGCTTGCCAGGTTGTGCTAGAGCAAACCCTGTTGACCGATCAGCTTGCAGCTTGCCACTCCGGCGGGGTTCTATCCCCGACTTTGCGCGCTACTTGACAACTTGGTTCGACACCGATTCGCCAATCTGAGTAGACTATGCTCGTACTGCCAATATGTTGAATTCGAATGTTTGTATCATCATGACCGCACGTGTTCTGGCATGTATCACCAGTTGCGTGTTCTTTTGCTCCTTTGTCATGACGGAGACCGGTCGGGTGCTTGCAAGCTACCCAACGAGCTTCGGGTCCGTTCGCTTGTGAGAGATCCGGGAAGGTCATCGAGGGCATGGGCGAGTTGCACCTGGAGATCATCGTGGACCGCCTGAAGCGCTGCTCGGCACGTGTGGTAGCGGCATGTCAAGGGGACATTTTGAGGAAGCCGTGTGGGATTGAACCGCCAGTTTGCAGTGTCTCTCTCTCTATCTATCCCTCTCTCTATCTCTATCTCTATCTCTCTCTCTCTCTCTATCTCTCTCTCTCTCTATCTCTATCTCTCTCTCTCTCTCTCTCTCTCTCTCTCTCTCTCTCTCTCTCTCTCTCTCTTTCTCTCTCTCTCTCCCGTGTCTCAAGGGCCTCAAGAAGGCTCCAAACTGGTCAGTACTCTCGACGGTGGCGGCATGACCCTTGATTCACAGGAAGCTCTACTTTTTCAAGCATCCATACAGGCAGTCATTGGCAGCTAGCATTGTTATGTCCAAGGGGAGGTCACTGGGAGGTTTTGACCCATTTCATGTGATGAGTCCAACTTGACCCCGTTCGAGGCGAGTTCAAGGTCGGCGCCAACATTGGCAAGCCTCAGGCGGGGAAAGATCGCCATGCCACTGAAAACGAAGCTCATAGAGGATCTCAAGTTTTCGCATTCCATGAGCAAGATGTGCTGGCCGTACATCGCATTGCCGGTGAAAGGCCACGTAAGTGATGGGAGTCATGGTTGATGCACAGCAACTGCTCAATCTATTGGCATTGGCGCCACGACACAAGACGCAGAACACCAGGTGGCCTACCGTGAGACGATCACGGAGCCGATTGAGCTGTGCCTTGGAAGGTCTTTTTGCCTTGCAAACGGATTCTTTGTCAATCGTTGTGCGTAAATTCCGCAGAGTGGAGAGCATTGGATTTTCTTTCCCAAGTTGTCGCAGTAGGAAACAAGGCAGGGCTGCTGACAGGCATTTAGCAGAGGCAAATGGGGGAAATGTGGCCAATCTTGTTCTCACCTTGGCTTGCAAGCTGCTTCCGGCTGGCACAAATGTTTAGGATCTTCGGTCAATTCGTGCATGCTGGGACACACACACACACACAGACACACACACACACACACACACACATGCTTCACGCGCATCTCCGACCACTATGCGGACACAAATGGTCACCTCACGTTACCTACCGAACGCGTTGAGCGGCGGCTGGGAGAGGTGGGTGTTTGCTGGAAGCTCGGGGGTTTGGGGGGGGGGGGCTGAGAACAGAGTCAAGGGCTTAGCTAGGAATACACGTTTTGCTGAGTGGCTCTTGCTATGCAGGTGAGCGAACAAGTAGTGCTGGGGTTCCAACATCTAGTGAAAAAATGTGTGCAACGCCTAGGCAAACAGCACATTCTTCTTGGTCACCCCCCTCCCCGTGCTTGCAGAGCCAATGGAATTTCCAGTAGTGTCGAGCCCGGAAAAAAATCTCAGAAAGTCATGAAAAGGGTTTGAGAGCTACAGCTCTAGCTGAGTCCCACAACTCACGCGGTTCGCTCTAATCCGTGTCCATGATCTTTGCTTTGGCGCATTTTGCTTGGATGTTAGGACTTTAGCTTTTTGCCAACTAATGATTGGGTTTTCCATTAAACCACGAGAAGTTGAGCTTTTAGCAGGGCTTCGCAGAAAGCAACCGAGTTTGGTCCGGACCCAGGTGGTACACCCACAAAAAGCAGTCCGGTGGCTCCGGACAGTATGCCGCTTGGGTAGCAAGTCCAGGCCGCTCCAAAAACAGATCATGTGAAGGGTAGACCCCTGTTTTGGGTGGTCTTTGAAAGTGAAACCAAAGGGAAGATCGAAATGGACCAAAGTCCATTTTGGGGCGTCCGATTCCTCAAAAAAACTCGGGATCCGATTCTTCACGCACAAGCCACAGGCACAACTGCAGTCTGCTTTGTCATTCTGGACTATATGTGATCAAAATTTCTTGATCCATTTTGATATTGGCTGCGTGTATTTGCACTGTGTAATGTTTACATTGTAAAAGTTGCTGGTGCTCAGCAGGGGACCCCTTGGGTTCATTTCCTCCCACCAGTTGGATTGTTTATGCTCAGCACCAGTCAGATGCTTCCACATTGATCCGGTGCTTTCGATTCGAGACTGGGCCAATTGAGCCACAATCAAAACCCGGGTAGATGAAGGTTAGTGAGGGACAAACCCAACCAATAGCTGCGGAGATCCGCCGAATCTGAATTCTTGAAGCATGGCTCTGGAATTACAACGATTTTAAGACCGGGTTTTGAGCAAGTGACTCACATGAGCCTGGGTTTGTTTGTTTGACCTTTTGGGAGCCAATCACAACCGGCAAAAGTTGTGCGCCGATTCCACGTAACCAGCTGGCCTCTGACCGTCTTTAGGCGAAGCTCTGCATGGTCTTCGAGCCCAACGGCGGCAATGGCTACGAGTTCACCAACGAGATCATTGGCGGAGCCGTGCCCAAGGAGTACATTCCAGGCGGACCGAGTGGGGGAGGGGCCTTGTGGGTGTGAATGAAAAGGTCCGGCAAACGTCTCTACTGCTATTGGGTTGGATCTTTAGACTTTAACTTTTGGACAGATCATATTTCCGGTTAACCAGCAAAAAGTGAACAACTCTTCGCTGGGGGTTCTGCAGCACACAAGACATGGGGTGACCATTAGGGCAACCAAGAAGGATTAATTTTACCACTACAAAGGAGAAGTTACCATGGTGATTTGGGGGCCAGGAATGTTGATCAACCCCCACATGTTCATGTCGCGCAACCGTATCTAACAGTTGCGATGTTTGGGGCGGGGAAGCATGGGCTGAGATGCGCGCTTGAGCAAGTACCGTGCGTTGCTAGTGTTGCTCCATTGATTTATGTGAATAGATGAACATTTGTGCTGGAAGTCTTCTTGTGTACGCCATTCATGAGCCAAACGCAGGCAGAAACTCAGAGGCTGCAGCTGCTTGAAATAGTTACTGGGGTCTCGTAAGCCTTGTCTCCAGGATGATTGACTTGATAGCTATTGGGTTGGATCTCTAGACTTTTTAACTTTGTGGCTGAAATCAGATGTTTTCCGTTGAGCCCACCGGCGTTTTCAACTTTTTGTTCACAGCGCACCGTTGATGCGATCTCCATCCTTGGACCCCCCCCGAATGGGTTTTCCTGCGGGCCTGGCTGGCTGGTGCTGAGGGAATGGCCCAGGCGTTGGGAATGAACCAAGGGATTCCCTCAATCTCACTTCCTGAGTTCATGAACTTTAAACTTTTTGGGGTTGGACCATTTTAGTGGCAAATATGAAGTTTGAACTTTTTTGGGCCATCCACTCAGCCAGTGAGCAATGGAAACCAGCAGTTGGAGGCTTATGGGGTTCATTCCCTCATTCCCTGTTGAGAACCAGCAAGGTTTTGCTGCGACTCTCTTTATCCAAGGCAATTCTGGGGGGGAAACGATCAGGCAGTCCGGCGTAGTTCCAGAAAATTCCCGCGTGTGCCGCTTCGCTCGGCGCGTGTGGATGCAATCCATGTCGCTTGTTGAGGCTCGCGTAGGCAGCCTTCCCCCGCGGCTCGTAGGCATGGATGGCAGCAAGAGGGCCGCTGCACCCAAGAAAACCTCAACGGAGTTTGGGCTTTACGGCTTTGTTTCAGTGGCGTCAAAGTGGTCGAAGTGCTGCGGGAAGGTACTGGTAGTGTGGCACAGAGCTGCCAGAAAGCCACACAGCTGGACTCGGATTTGGATCTGCCAGAAAACTGCCAGAAGCACCGGAGACCTGGCCACATCCATTTTCAGAGGTCGAGTTCGAGCTCCGCGGCTTTTTCAAGGTCCCCCAGCTTTAGAAAAGAAAGCATCGGGTACCAACTTCTTCTAAGCTCTCTACTGGAGGACCTAGTATTGGGTTGGATCTGTAGACTTCTTCACTTTCTAAGCTCATTCTAAGATCTCTGGAGGACCTCGTCTTCTTTTCTTTTTCGTTTCTTCGTCCCGCAATGAGAGGCGTGATGAAGGGCACCGAGAATGAGCTGCAGAACGGCATCCGCATGGGCTTCCCGGTGGTGGACGTCAAGGCCATCGGGACTCGGCGACTGTGGAGAGATCGGCGAGATCGGAGAGCGCGCTCTCGTCCCATCCCGGCGAAGATGTTTTGGAAGGGAGCTTCAAGGGGAGCTTGGGGAGCTTGAAGGGGGGGCTTGCAGGCTTTTTTCGGGGGCTTCGGCTCGCACTGGAGCTTTGGGTTAAGGGAACCCCCCGCAATTTGAAACATGGAGGCGGGTTCCCTACAGCTCTTTATGAGGCTCTCTAAGTGGCACGTGCCTTGCGCAGGACTTGAGAACATGAGACAAACCCCAAGATGCATCAGTCTTCGTAGACCCATGGCCTGCTAATGTTGACCCCGGATGAATAAACCCATGGTTGATGTCCATAGGTGTCCTTTTTGGTGGTTTTGGTCCAAAAAAAAATAGATGGCGATTCCTGGTTTACCTGGCGGTTTCATCATCTACCAGGGCCATCATTTTGCCCCAAAAGGACACCTATGGGGGTGTCCCCTTTTAGTGGGGATTCACTTTTGGAGGGAACACCCCCCTAACCATGGGACGGGTTTATTAAACCTGTCAACAATATTGGACGTTTGCCCGGAGAAACTGCCACTGAAGCATTACTAGGCGGGGGCTGAAAATCGCTGCAAGATGTCCTTCAAGCGCTTGCGCTCCATCCGAGGTTCAGCATGCATGGATCATAGGTGTGTGGTTTTAGTCTGGCACCAACAAACCCTCAACCCGCCTCTCCTGACGCAAGAGCTCATCTTGTGAAATTCGGCTTCGTTGGCTTCTCGGCTAAGCTATTGGAACACGTGAACAACCAACATTTGGAGCAACACTAAGGGGTGCTAACATCATTCATCAAAATTTAGTAGTGAAGACATGTTTCAGAAAAGGGTTGAACCCATAGGTGTTTTGTTTGGGTTACGTAGTTTGTTTGAAAATAGATGACCCTGAAAGGTCAATCCTCGCCCCCCCCCCCCCCGCCCTCCCCCAATGAAACCGAATGAAAAGGAGCGAAATGCCATTCGGGCCCGGATTCTCTTGAATCCAGGCCCTCAGGAGATTTTGTTCTGTTTCAGTTGGTTTCATTCGGGGTTTGGCCCTAGTCCTCTAGTTTTCGTGAAAGAAGTCCCTGAAATCCACTCTAAGTATCAGGCTTCCATGTGCAGATCCTTGGTTCTAGTCCTAGTTTGGTCCTAGTTGAGAGATGCGAGGATCTGGTCCAGTGCGGTCCTCCCGTACTCCAGTCCTCTAGGAGCCATTCAGGATTCCACATGGGACTTCATAGCTTCCTTTTCGCTTCATACCAAAACCGGTCACTCATTCGCATATACTCTTCGTAGGGGCTTTGCCCCTTAAGAACGAATCGTTGTATAGCTAATATATGTTATGCAGGAAATTACGAAGGACGTTTTAAGCGAAATTCAATTCCTTTCAGAATTAGAGTCAATTAGTCTAGTCCGAGTTGGTCCTAGTTCTAGTTTGGTCCTAGTCCTAGTTGAGAGATCCTTCTCATCAACTGGAGAGGAAAACGGTAGGTCGCTGGGGGGGGGGACAGCATATATGTATATTATATATGTATATCATACTATATATGTATGTGCAGCAGCATTATGCGGGTTCTCGTTGTCCGGTCCTCTTGCAGCGGTGCGCTGTTTGTTTGAGGGATCTATTTGCAGGACACGAACCAGACGCATCAGACCTGTCGCACCAGACGGTTTTGGGAGTCGAGCTGACGCGGGGGGAAGATAGAAGACTAAGGGGCGTTGCCAATGTCATGTGCCTCCTCTGGACAAAGCCGCTGACAAATGGGTGTGGGTCAAAGATAGGTACCGAACAAGGAACCCCGATGAATGGAAACAAGGACTAAAACCAGCAGTGGTTTAATTTTGACCCAGACCCAGAATTGGCTGTTGGCTCGTTGGATTGCAGTATGCAACTTATATCAATTTGAAGCAAGCCACGCCAAGCAGCGACTCGCCTCGACTCGCCTCACGCCTCGGAGTCCGGAGCGCGCGCTCGCTTGAGGCCACGCTGAAGGACGGCGGCTTCCACCCCGTGGACTCCTCCGCCATCGCCTTCGAGATCGCCGCGCGGGCCGCCTTCAAGGACTTCCCGCGGGCGGGCGCGTTTCGCGCTCGTTTCGGTTCCCGGCGTTTCGGGCGCGAAGGACCGGTCACTCAGCATGAGATCCCAGGAAGTTTTTGGGTTACTTTTAGAGATCAAACATGTTTTTTTCCCATCCAGATCTCTTTGCTTTTCTTTTCAACTTTGGTTTTCTCGGCTGCCCGCTTTGTCGGGCTGGAACGCCCAATTTGGCCAAATGTTCGAGCACTTGAGGCGCAAGATTAGTGGAGCTTGACATCAAGCTGGCTCAGCCGGTCGCATGGAGAGACCTGAATTCTGGCGTAGGTTTCATTCATATGTATTCACATGGCATTTCCCAGTCTGCTTGCTGGCATAGAGTTGCCAGGCCTGCAGGCCGCACATCAGGCAGTTTGCAACCTGCAGGCAGCACTTGGGCCCACAGGCTATCCAAACACAACTCATGCAGACCAAGCCATGGTGAGAAGAGGGCAAGGGCCAGGCAGGCGTTGATTCAGAGGAAAATGCACCAGGACGATCCAGCAGAAATTCGTGCAAACTGGCCCTGTGTAAAAAAGCCAACTGGCAGTTGAAAGCCAGAATTGAGAGCAGCCGCCATCCGTGTTTAGCTCTGTTGGTCAGCAATTCAGACCGTCAGGTGTCGCTGCAAGGTGCCTTTTTTGGGCGTAAACTCCACATGGATCATGCTTTGTTTCTTCTTCTTTTTCTGCGCCGGGCATCTGAGTTCTTGCGCAGGAGGGTGCCAATCAGGCGAAGCCCATCGTGTTGGAGCCGGTGATGAAAGTGGAGGCGCCGGCGCGCGGCGCACGTGGCTGAAGGATTTTAAAGCCCAGATCAGTCAAACTCAGCCCACGCTCGGCATGTTTAGGGATACACAGACCACCTCATCTACACAGCATGCGCTGGTGGGTCTTCAAGGTGTGGACCACCTTGAGGATGCAGCAGCAACCTCCCCAGGATCACAAGGGGTATTTGAGCGAGGCAAATGATCCCTTAAGAAACCAGAGATTTGTTGGATGATGATGATGATGATGATGATGTATTTTGATTTACCCTGTCCACTGACATGGAGCCTGCCAGGGCGTCCAATGGGAGAATTGTCTTCCAGGATCCCCGAAAGGTCAGGTTCCATGTTAATTGGTGGGAGGGTATATTTTCGTTTGGTTCTGGGACGAGAGAGACACAGGAAGCTCTGGAATTAGCTAGGCATTGGGGGAATGGGGCTGCTTTGTTGTTAGTTCTTCAGTTTCCTATTGGCTCCAAACAGAACAACTCAGCCACCCCAAAACCGGCTGCCAGTCCAGGCAGCTGCAAAAGGGTCTGTTCTTGTAAGGCGGAATAGATAGAAGAGCTCGCACAGGGTTCCAAACGCAACCAAACCAGGGCTTTGCAAGACATGCCAAGGGCATTGCTTTTCTTACTCTTTTTGCCGACAAGTGCTTGGCGCAAGCGCGCCGTGTGGCGCTTTCAGGTCATCACTCCGGAGGAGTACATGGGCAACGTCATCGGCGACCTCAACAGCCGCCGCGGCATCATCCAAAACCTGGCCACGCGCCGGGTCCCAAGCCCCGACGATGGATGAACGCAACGATCGGCATTTCCGACGATGGCAACAGAATGAACATGTTGGCAACACAATATTTGGTGCATTTTGCTTGGATGTTAGGACTTTATTTTTTTGCCAACTAATGGGTTTTCCATTAAGCCACTAAAATTAAACCTTTGGCAGGGAAGCAATGATAGTGGCACTTCTAGTTTAAGAGCACTAGTATGAGAATCGTTGTTTGCTTCACGAAGAGTCACGCCAGAACATGTCGAATCATTATTTCTGTCATGTCCCTATTTTCCCCATTTGTGTAATTAGTAGACAGCAACCATGTTTTCTGGCAGATCTGCAGTGCAGCCAGCAGCCATATCGCAGAAGGCTTGTTCTGGTTTTCACCGGTGCTGCCCAGTGCAAAGGTGACAAGGCAGTAGGTAGGCGAGCGACCGTGGTTATCGTTGCGCGTCGTTGGGGCATTCTTCGCACAGAAGCCAGTCTGGTAGCCAGGACAAGCGCTCGGGGACCATGACTGAATTCATCCGGAAGTGACGTGACCATCGCGCTTCGATGAACCAATGTGTCCGTGACTGGCCTCATTATTTTACCATGATCAAAGTCACCCCCTAAGTGATGGGTTCAAGGGAAACAACCGATTCCATTTTCTGACTTTGATAACCCCTAGAAACCGTCAAAATAATGACCCCGATCTGTGGCTCCGCCGGGAGGAAAATTCGGCGCGACGCCACGCGAGGCGGCAACCTGCACGTGGTGAACGCCTCCGTGCCCTTGGCCGAGATGTTCAGCTGCCCGGCGAAAAAAAAAGAGAGGGGAACAACAACTCGTCGGCAGTCGGCTTGCGCCCAGGCCTCATTTTTTGACCCGGGCCGAAGCTCCCAAAGTCCAACGTGAGACATAAGCAAGATTGGAAGAATAAGGCAAGAGATCCAAGTGCCTTTAAATGTCTCACAAGATTGCCTCAATAATCCAAGAGGTGCCTTTAAGACCTTCAAGTAATCGAGACACGAGTAATTAAGTGAAGATTCAGGGACAGTCCCAATCAGATTTAGGTGCGACCGTCTTTTGTAGTTCTTTGCATAGGTTTAATAGGCCATTTTAGCACCAGGTTTGATTGTGGCTCGCATCACCCATCCGACCTCTGAGGAAACACCATGACCACTGTGAATAGGCCCTGAAAAACACGTCGCCTCACAATTGGCATACACGGGGCGAAACATGTGCGCAAACAAACATTTGGGGTGTTGAGTCTGCATTATGGCTGCGCCTTGGAGCCACTGCCAATTGTGTTTTTCCTGCCATACTGTGGATGGACAAAATCCATTTCGCAGCACCTAAGAAACCGTGAAAAGCTGTTGCTTGTTTGTATTTACACAGGAACCATCGTTCCAGGGTTCCTTAGGCGGTGCAGGATTTTATCCATCCACAGTTCATATGGGAATGCTTGCTTTGGCTCGCATAGAAAAGGATGCGCCGGGTCTTCTTACAAGCCAGAAAGGCAAGGGAGGCGTGTTTTACTGCACGCAGAAATGTGAGTTTGACTCTAAGATGCTAATTATCTGTGATCTGTCTTATCAATCTATTACTGCTGCCCACATGATGTGACAGCAGACTCAACGCAGGGTAGCTTTTTTTTTGCAGCAAGATGGCGGTCATGTCTGATTCAAGTATGCATGTCTTGATTTTGCTGATCAGTGACGGCATGATTCAAGTATGCCACACTGTGGTATATCAAGAGCTACTGAGATGGCGTTGGCATATGAGTAATACCACCATACCAAAGTGTTTCTTTTGGAGATGGGTGCTGACTCCATTCAGTTTTCTTCGTTCCAATAAAAGGATTTTAAATAGGAGTCCCCTTTTTTGTTCTTCGCTGGTAAAAAACCTTTTACCAGCCACACACACACACCCTGGCAATTTTTTACCGCAAATCCCAGGGCGTCCCTTCCTTGCCATCTTCGGACCCGCGCCCAAAAGCCGCATTTTTGTTCGACGGCCGCGAGGGACGCTTTGAAAGCTTGGAGCCGCGAGGCTACATCGCGGAGCTGCGGAACATCTCCAAGGGCCGGGCCAACTACAGCATGGAGTTCGAGCAGCTGGGCGCAACAGCTGGAAGGGAATCTATTTTGTTATTTTCCCCTGTTGGTTTTAAAGGGAATCTATCACTACTGTTTTTTTTTTCCCCAGCTGGAAGCTTAAAAGTTTTTAGTTCAGATATCCGGGGCAATCGGTCCGGGGCCCTGAGGTAAGGTTCCACGAGGGTTCCACAAGGGTTCCACGAGGGTACCACGAGGGTTCCACGAGGTTCTGCGAGGTTCTGCGAGGCTGTTGGGGATATCACCTGATAAGATTTTTTGTCCAGCCTGAGCGCGCGCGTGCAGAAAGGCCAAGCTCGCTTGGCCTGAAGGCTTGCAGGTTCCATGGGCAGGGAAGGAATGAGAGTTGGAAGGGCGCTGGAAAGCAAGAACAGCCCCGATTTGGTGTCCTTGATTCGGGAATCCAACCAAAAGCAGTTCATTCCACCAACACCCGGACTCGGACAAGCAAGAAAATGGCAAGGGCTTGGGACGAGGGACTCACTGCCAGGTGGTCCCAAGAGATATGGGTATAGCCCAGGGACCCTCCCAGAGGTGCCTTCTGTGTTCTGTGAGTGGGACGGAGGGTGTCCATTTTTGCCAAACAAATGAAGGTGACGCGGGCAATGAGCAAAGGCATGTACAGGCTGTGTAGAATGAGAGCAGAGTGGTGCAGGACGGCACGTGCGATTGGTTCAAGAAGGCTGTAGCTTCTTGTTCTTCGTTTCGGCTGAGACCAGATGCGAACCTGCTTGCATTCAGGAAGTATGAGCCTGTGCCTGACAACGTGGCAGAGACGATCAGCGCTAAGGAAGCGTGAGGTTGGGCGCCCAACCGAAGAGGTGAGGGGACACTGGGTGGATGAATCATTTTCTCGGGCTTGTCCTTTTGTTGAGAGACGAAACCACACACACACACACACGACCAGCACTCTCCAGCATCTACCCTGTTTTTGCTTTTGCTCTTCAGCCTTATGAAAGTCACACAGCTGCTTCTGAACATCTTGGTCTCGATATTACCAGGATTACCTCCCAAGGTTTTTGGTGAAGAGGAGCTTCTCCCGAAGAATGTTCAACCGGCTCGTTGGCAAGCAACAGAGGGAACAACCCGGTTGACCGGTAGACCCCCGGTTTGTGTTGAGCTTTCTAGACGACACATTGACAGCGCTCAACAAGCTGCGAGGGAGGCCAAATTGAGCAATAGACCGTAGCATGTTGCGGGGCCCGCGTGAGTCGATGATTTTTTTCTGTTGGCATGGCTACACGCCGTGCCATCCGTGCAGGAGGTCAATGTTGGATGTCCACTTGTTTGCTATTTGTTTCAATCCCCCGCCCAAGATCCCTTCAACAGCGGCTTTTGGCTTGTCCTCGCTCTTGAACATTGTTGCTTTCAGACCTGCAGCGTTTGTTCGCGATCGTCTCGCTAAGGCTGAATGTATACGCCCATATGTACCCCTGGCTGGTATGGCCCCCTATTTTATGGGTTAATTGCTCGTTTGTTCTGGCTGAATTCTGGGAAAGCCCCCGAAGGGTTCCACGCACGTGGCCATGGGTTCAGCCTTTGAGTATCTAGCGCGGGAGCTCACGGCAAAACGAGCAAAACCAGGGCTAAGCCAGGGTGCCCCCCTCGGGCTGGGCCCGACTTGCAGAGGTCGGAGGCATTGCGGCACATTGACCAAAAGGTCCAGCATGGGATGGGTTGCAAAACCGCTAGAAAGATTCGATATTTGATATTTCCCACAGAAAAGCTGGCCATGGACATTTGGAAGCCAACTTTTTTTTGCTCCCTGTACCCAGTGCTGTTAAATGCAAACCAACAGGCCCCCCCCCTCCCATTTTGCCACCAAGCACCGTTTCCGAGCCGTAGGTCACGATGTGAGCCTGGCGGCCGCTCGTGTGCTGCGCACGTTGGGGCTTGCCTAAGAAGTTTTCGAGAGAGGTGTGACTCACTCGAACGGTGAGTATCCTCATCTGCCAAATGGCCAAGGGAAACAGACACGCTCAGACAAACGACTGGAGCCTTCGGGCAAGCCATTTGGCAGTCCTTTTTCCTCGTCCGATTTTCGCAAGCCGGCTCAGGCTTGCAGATTTCGAGCCCTTCACAGCTTTTAAGAAGGCTCAAAAGGAGATGAGATATGTCAGAGGGCTGCAAGACGTTGATCACGTATCTGACATGAGCCCTGGATGCAGATTTTCAGATGGCCCTTTGGTCTTCGGCCCGGAGGGGAATGGCTGTTGGTAGTACCACTTTGGCATCAGAGTCCAGGAAACTCTAACTTGAGCCGCTGTCAACTGTGTTTTGCGTTTTTTGCCGAACAGCGCCTTTGGCAAAAGAGAGAGCACCAACTTTCGACAGTTCGCATGCTGAACGATGCATGTATACCTATATATATATATATCTATTGATATATTACCTTTCCAGGTTTGGAGGGAATCCAAAGGACGCCCACCATATTTGGGGTCCAAGTCCCCTTTCTTGACACCTTTCACAAAACATATTATTTGGAGGAGGCAAGCACATACTCTTGCAGACAGCCCAACGCACTGTCAGCTCACTGGAGTTTTGACGTGCCCAAACCTGGCTGAAGCCTCGCCGAAGGTTTGGTGCCACAAACTTACACAATACTTTGGTGCATTTTGCTTGGCTGTTAGAACTTTAACTTTTTGCCAACTAATGGGGTTTCCACTAAACCACTAAAAGTTAAACTTTTAGCAGGGGAGCAGAAAGCAACCGAGAATATGTGATGGATATGACCAGCGTGTCACACTATCTAAACTGCCTGAACTCCCTGAACTCCCCAGAATACGCCCAGAGACGCCATCGCCGCAGTCCTTCCCGTGCCGCAAAGCGGCCAAACTCCCGGCCGCGAGCGAGCCCCTTTCTTTCTCCCCGTTGGTTCCTTGCACCTCAGCCTAGTCTCGTCTTTGGTTTGAAGCTTCCTCAGTCTCCGACGGTCCAACTGTTGCGACCTTGGGCTCGCCTTCCCTTTTTGGAAACTCACCAACCAAGCGCCAGCGAAGGCCGTCTTGGCGCTTCTGCGGCGAAAAGGAGCTCGGGGCAATCGCCAGAAATCATTCGGTGCTTCTTGAAACGCCAAAAAAAGGCCAAATCGTGGGTTTGGGGGGGTTTGGGGGGGGGTTGGGGGGGTTGGGGTGGTTTGGGGGGGGTTGGGGGGTGTAGTTGGGGGGGGTTGGGGGGGTTGGGGTGGTTTTGGGGGGGTTGGGGGGGTTGGGTTTTGGGGGGGTTTTGGGGGGGTTTTGGGGGGGTTTTGGGGGGGTTTTGGGGGGGATGGTTCAGAGATTTGCAGGGCAGAGATTTGGCCATGGGCTTTTCAAAATCCAAATCGTACCCCCAGTGAACATCCAAAATAGACTAAAATGGGTGGTGCACCTACCCCAAGATGGGATACCATTGGTTTTGACCCACAGCCATTTGTGCATACAAATCGCTGGGCTTGGGATGTGCGATGGGTTGCGCTGTGTCAAGGGTTCATGGGTTGGCCTTGCATCGCCACTGCGACGATCACTCGTATGGTTGACTTTTGCCAAGTCAAGTTACCATGCGTTCTTGTGGTCCTAGACACGTGCCGGGGAGAGCGTTGTCCGTTGCTGAACCTTCCAGTTTTACCAACTCAGTCAGCCCATGTTTACCTACATTTGAGAGGACTTTCCCCAGATTTATCCCGGTTGAGATCGCCGTCCATTCGCAACCAAGTGCCTGGCGCATACTTTTCGGCTCCAGCAGGCATCTGCTTATGTTCTATTTCAGGTCTTTCCCACTTTGGGCACCTTGGATTGAAGCGACACAAAATTTGCCCAGCGTTGCGTGCCAGTTTGAGCCTAAGGTCCATGACGTTTCTCACAAAGTCAAAGCTGCTGATCATTCTGGAAGCTTGTCAGCAACATTTGGGTATGGGTCAAAGTTAAACCACCAGGGGACCGCAGGTTTTAGTCTTTGGTTCCATTTACCAGGGCTCCATTTTGGGTACGCAGTTTTGACCCATAACCAATTTCCGTCAACTCGCGCAGAAGTGCGACATTATGTTTTTGTCGCATGCTATGCCGACTCTTCCAGTCCAGGTTTTCAAGGGGCGTGCTAAAACTTAGTTTTGATAGTTCGGTTCGGCCCGCAGGCGCCAGGCCAATTGCAGATTTTCTATGAGATTGCCAGACTGTTTGGGTAGATATGTTCACTGCCTGGCAGTCGAATTGCCTCTGTGGTGGGTGGCCTTATTACTGGCCCGGGGGGGGAGAAAGAAGATAATAATATGAACATTGACCTCATCGCTGACCAGTGTCTTCCATACAAGTTTTACGAGGTGTTGTTACGTGAGGCCAGTGTGTTTGCGATCCGAGCAGTCACCGGCTCTCTAAGTGGCCAAAGGACATCCATACCCCTTCGAAAAAAGGGGTAGATATTCCGCAAGCGGGGTGGCTCACTTAGCCAAGGAGCCAAGAGTTACTGTCGACGAAATCCCGCACCACTTTGAAATCAAGGGAAACCATTGTTTGTTGGTATTTACAGGGCTTAGGTGGTGCGGGATTTCGCCCATACACAGTATGTGCTGCTGGTGGGTTGGGTCTTCAACCTACCGCTTTTCGGAAACATCCTTCGGGCACCTGAAGGGATTTCTTCCCAGTGGGGTCCATGCAGCATGCTGGGTGCTCCCTTCACAGACCAAGAGGTACTATGAGGGCTGAAATGAGAATGCGGTTGTCAGGTATTTGAGAACAATCCCGTCATACTCATAAAGTCAGAACACACTGCGTGTATTGGTTTATGGTTGGCTGGTTTGTTTGTTGGTTGGTTGGTTGGTTGGTTGGTTGGTTGGCTGGTTGGTTGGTTAGTTGGCTGGCTGGTGGTTTTGCGTTGGCTTCTGGTTTTGTGGTTCTACTCAGATACTTGCTGACTTAGTTGCTTGGTTACTCTAGATCACGGTTTGGATGCGTCTTTTGTTGATTTCACCAGTTCTTCCCTTTGCGGGTTCTTTTTAGTACTCTTTTAGTACTCTTTTAATATCCTTCAGGGCGGTTCCACACAAGGCTATGAATTTTAATAGGCAACCCGTCCAAAGTGGTTGGTGGGCATGGATCCCCAGCTAAATGGGGTCCCGAACAAAAAATCAGATCCACATCCAAATGGTTTTCTATAGCTGCTTGGTATCAGGGTCAGTGGGAGCGAGGCATGATTGAGGTCTGACGTTTGTAGTGACCACCTCCGGTTATTTGAGCCACAATCAAAACGCGGGTAGATGAAGCTTAGTAAAGGACGATCCCAACCATAAATAGCTGCGGCCGCCTTCTTAATTCCTTACATGGTTCTAGGATTACAACCATTTTAGTACCGGGTTTTGATTCTGATTTTCGTACATTCTGGAAATCCAACCACTTAACTGCTGAAATTTAAATTGATTTTTGCTCCCCTTCCAACGTCAACCAAGCCGAGGGACAGTCCCAACCAGATTTAGGTGCTGTCTTTTGTAGTTCTTTACATAAGTTCAGATAGGCCATTTTAGCACCAGGTTTGATTGTGACTCGCATTGCCCATCCGACCTCTGAGGAAACACCATGACCACTGTGAATAGGCCCTGAAAAACAAAAGCGTCGCCTCATTGTGACTCACCTCCGGTTCTTTCGCCGCTCCGAGCCGAGCCGCTCAGACCGCCGCGGTGCTGGTGGCCTTTGGGCTGCTGCTGGCCGCGCTGGTCTCGCCGGATGCCCAGCGCCGGGCGGGTTTTTTCTCTTTGGGGCCGGGCTTTAAAGGGAAACACGGGAAACCAAGAAGCATGGGGGTCTGGTCAATGGGTGTGTGAAACATATGGGTGTGTTTGTCTTTTTTGTTGAGGGAACGCTTTTTTTTGGATGGGTTTGGCAGGAAGACAAAAAGAGAACCGAAATGTATTTGGGGGGCTCCCCGAACCGCGCGCGGAACCAGTTGGCTCAACATTTTGTAGGCCTGGATATTTGAGCAAAGAGACAGCAAGGACTGGGTACTGCTTCTTGGTTGATGTTGTTTACCTTTGCAACATTATGACATGGTTGCCCTGAAGGTTCCAACAGTGACATTGCGGCAAGGAATCACGAGTGCTTGGTTACCTTGGCCAGATGGATTCTGACCTCGAGTGGCTAGGAACAAAAAAGTCACGGGGCTGATGGGTCCACATCCTGCAATGATGTCCAGAGGGTCCCGAACGAGCTACACCCAAAGAAAGTTTCCAGCACCCAAAGCACCGATTCAGCGAAGCATGCTTCCATTTGTTGCCATGTAAGGTATCCCTTCTTCGAGGACAAGAGTACTGGGCAAGGCGCGATGCTTAGAGTCGCTCATGCAATGCGGACACCGCCCCAGGGGTCTTCAAGCAACTGCTGGCTTTCCCGTTGGAGTTCAGCTGTGGTTTGCACAGCATGTCTTGAAAAAGTCTACCTCTGGACCTCTTCTGGCCCATTTTATTCTTCTGAAAATGTATATTTAAGTGAGACAAGTTCCTCTCTTCCAGAGCCTCTTGTGTTTGCCAGAGCCTCTTAGCCTCTTATTGTGGGCTTGCAGAGTTCCCAGGTATTTTCTATCATGACCTCTGGAGAGAACTGGGTGGCAAAGCCCTGCTCGTCATGGGCCTGCTTGCAGGCCGCGGCACGTGGGGCGTGGGGCGTGTGGCTTTTGGGGAGGGTATGGGAGGGCTTTTGGGGAGGGGTTTTGGGGAGGGGGGGCATGGGTGGCTCGTCTTTATTCTTGGGGGTACCCGGCTTTAACTGGAAACCCATAGGAAAACCCAGCAATTTTTGGGGGGTCCAGCCTTAAAAAAGACACCCACTTGGCAAGACACGCAGAAAGTTACTGAATGGGTCACCTGGTGAACCACGAGACATGTGGAAATTCAAGTTCACTTTGATATGCCGAACTGTATCTGGATCTGGATATCCGTGCCAGTGGCTTGCTGACTGATACGCAGAGGGACTTCCCCGCCGGAAAAATCAACACTTGGCTGTGGGTCAAAAATGGGGTAACCCCAAAATGGCTTGCCCTGGTAAATGGAAAGGACTAACACCTGCGGTCCAATTCCTGGTGGTTTAATTTAAACCCATACCCAAATGTTGCTGACAAGATTCCAGAATGATCAGCAGCTTTGACTTTGTGAGAAACGTCGTGAACCTTAGGCTCAAACTGGCGCGCAACGCTGGCTCCGTGTGGCCAAATTTTGAGCCAGCCGTGTTGAAACTTCCAGCGCCTGAGGCAGCGTGGTGGGGCTGCTGCTGGTGCCTGTGGTGGTTTACTTCGGAGCAGATGTGGTGACCTGCTTCAGCTCGAGAAGCGGAAGGAAGTCATAATTATAAGGACCTCACACGACCGAATTCACCCCGCAAATTTTGTGGTTTATATGGGGAATAGCCCCCCAAACACCTTATTTCAGGACCGGCGGAAAACAGCATGTGGTTTATGTGGGGAATAGCCCCCCCAAACACCTTATTTCAGGACCGAAAAAAAGGAAGAGAAAACAAAGCCCAAATTGTGTGGTTTATGTGGGGAATAGAGCCCAACCACCTTATTTCAGGTTGGGGACATATTATGATTCACTCCGAATTACAAGTGGCATTTAGCCACTTGAGGATCCATTTGAAGGCGGACGGATGAATGACTTGAGATGCTGCTCCGGTGGCTTTCAAATTCCTGGAGCTTCCGTGTCTACCCTGACCGTAGGCTGCGTCAAATGAAGGAATTCTCCTGCTTCGAATTTTGAAATGGAATATCTATATTGAATTCGTGAGATGTTTCCCCACCGCAAGGAGAGTGACTCAGCCTTGCTTAAGCCGGTTTTCCGCAGCTATCTCGGGTTTTCTCTTGGATGCCAACTGGTCCCGCCTGGAGGTTTGACAATTTGATGATTTCAACGGACGCATGGGGGCATACGCATCAAACAGAATAGTTGAGGATCAACCAATACGGTTGATGCCCTAAATTTTGCAAGTAGGGAACAAAGGAAACCCTGTAAATTCCAATGGTTTGTGGTTGACTTACTTGCAATATTTAGGGCATCCACCGTAGTACAATCCTGTGCACCCAGCAAAGGGGCGGTTAGTAAGTCAGTATCCGGCGAGACGGAGAATAAGTGTGTAAGTTAGTAAGTCAGTAAGTTAGCAGGTACGCCGGTTAGTAAGTGAACAAGAGAGGGTGGACCAGGAGGAGGCGGGTAGTTAGTCAGTTAATGTGGAAGAACAGGCAGTTGGCGCGGTAATAGTGCTACTACTACTGCTGCTGCTGCTACTACTACGGCTACGACGCGACTGCGACTGCGACTGCGACTGAATTACTATTTTGATCCCTCAGCCGGTGTCTTTGTTTAGGCTTGAAACTAAATAAACAGGAACAACTCGCCATTTGGGTATGTGTCTTCATTTTGCGACCCCCCGCCCCCAAAAAGAAGAAGAAGAAGAAGAAGAAGAAGAGGAAGAGGAAGAAGAAGAAGAGGAAGAAGAAGAGGAAGAAGAAGAGGAAGAAGTAGAGGAAGAAGAAGAGGAAGAAGAAGAAAGGAAACCACACCTAGTTTTTTTCCTATACAAGACGAAGAAGAGGCTCCGGTCGCCTAACTCCGCTCCCCCGGGTTCTCGCTCGCCTGTTCGATCCAGCGATCTCAAGGCGCGGATGCTCTACGAGAAGATCACAGGTGCAGAGTTTGGAGCGGCGCCCTGGCGACCGACCGCCGACCGATGGCCAGGGCTAAAGAGGGCTCGTCGTGTTTTGTATATTTATATTACATACATACATACATACATACATACATACATACATACATACATACATACATACATACATACATACATACACATACATACATACATACATACATACATACATACATACATACATACATACATACATACATACATACATACATACATACATACATACATACATACATACATACATACATACATACATACATACATACATATACATACATACATACACATACATACATACATACATACATACATACATACATACATACATACATACATACATACATACATACATACATACATACATACATACATACATACATACATACATACATACATACATACATACATACATACATACATACATACATACATACATACATACATTACATACATACATACATACATACATACATACATACATACATACATACATACATACATACATACATACATACATACATACATACATACATACATGCATACATACATACATACATACATACACACACACACACACATACATACATACATACATACATACATACATACATACATACATACATACATACAGGCACGCTCACATACATACAGACAACCAAGCATGTACGCGTACATACATGCATGCGTACATACATGCGGACATACATACCTACCTACCTACCTACATACATACATGCATACACACACACACACACATACATACATACATACATACGTACGTACGTACGTACATGCATACATACAGTCAGACATACATAGACTTTTACGTTTGCATTTACATACCAGGGACTTGACAGGAAAAGACAACGCGACCCCTGCGGTTGTGGTACGGCTTGCGTGGCGGACGGGGAGGGGGGACAACGCCAGTTTAGTTCCATTGGAAAGACGGCTACAGAGTGTTTCGAAACGAGTTGCTGTCCTTTGCAACGGAGTGCAGCCCGGCTGCCTCGTCTGTGCGCGCCACATCCGCCCGCCGGAACCCTGTCAAACTCTCGGGGGGGCTCGCGGCTCGACTTGACTCGCGCGCTACGACGCGCGAGACTCGAGCCACGGAGCCGACGCGCGACGAGCTGAGGAGTTCATTGCCGGGACGATGCAGGGCATGGCCTTGAGCTACCTGGTGACCTCCATCGCCTCCGCACTCTGGACCGCGGCACCTCGCTGGCGTTTTTTTTGGTTGACCTGCGCCCGGGTGCGCGGCGCTCCGTGGCTGCTTCTGGGTGATTTTTGCTTGAGAACCAGCAGGAACACCGATGCACCATGTTTGGTTCGGCTTGAGGTCTGTTATGTTTGCCCGATCGATTTCCCTGTAAGGGAGCCGAGTCACAATCCCGCTGGTAACTCCCGTATTGTTCTTGGAATATTCAGAGCATCCGTATGGAGCGAGGTTTTAACAATGGAGCTTATCTGGGCTGGAAAGCTAGGTTCGGCATGCTGGCATGATTTCCCTTTGTCGTGAAGAAAACTGCTTTATGTGTTCCAATTTCCTCTATGCTGGCGGCTAAAAAGGACCGCTAAGGGTGCCGTGACGCAGCACATCCGAGGAACAGGAAATCTAGCAGTTCGTGGTTCAATGAACATTGCATGTTTCAAGGTTCGTAGGAAAGATGCAAGCCAAGGTGCCATTTTGATCGCTTAGTTGGGTTAGGCATAGCTGGGTTCTGGTTTAGACTGGTTTATGCTATCAATTTACCAGGGAACCCCATCTATGTTTTCCAAAGGTCGCCTCTGGGTGCAAGTTGAACCACCAAGCAGAACAAGCTCTCGATGGTATTGGGGTTTGGCCCATTGCAGGCATCCCAACGGCTGCTGCCAGAGCTTACAGATCAGTGGCTCAGGTGGGGATGCTGCTGTTCATGCAAACGCGACTTGGACAAGAGTGGAACATTCAATTTCTCAGTTCCTGCGCACACTAGCAGAAGTAAAAGGGACGAACGCCACAAAAAACAAGCTGCCAGGCAAATGGTTGCCTTGGTTTCCTTGGTTGGCTGGTTGCCTTGGTTTCCTTGGTTGGCTGGTTGGTTGGTTGGGTGGGTGGGTGGGTTGGTCTTTGAGGGCTCCGGGCCCCTGCCAGTCCCTGAAGGGCTCGTAGATCAGCTCGCGAAGGCTCAAAGTGTCTGCAATGGCGGGCTGTCGCGACGACTTCGCATAGGTGTCCTTTTTAGGTGAGCTTGGTTAGAAATAGATGGCGCTGGTTTACATCGGTTTTCTTCCAGGTACCAGGGCCATCTATTTAACCAAAAGGATACCATACCTGTGATTGTTCGTATTGCTGGCGCACGGTGGCCGACTGTGGCGTGAGTTGTTGATGCTTTGAGGACCAAAATGACTAGTGCCAACTTGCGATCTTGCCTCCGCGGATAACAAGAGGCAACTGGATGCTTCTCAAAATTGGTGACTCCATGTATTTCCTGTTGGTTTCCTTTTTCAGTCCATCCAAGAGGTCCTCCAAATTCCGGGGCCTGGAATGAGGCCACATGCGAGCGGATGAAGCAACATTCCTAGTTGCCAGCACTGGGTTTGGGTGATGCTTCACGGCAAAGCTTTGGCCAGGCACTCTCGGGGTTGTCACGTTCGATAGGTGCCTCAAAGCTCCGAGGAAAGACCTAGAGTTTGCGCGCGGCTTCATGTTCCTGAGCTGCGCTGCCGTGTTCTCGAGCGTCGCCGCTTGGATTTCGCGGCGACTTTTGGGGTTCGGAGCCTAGCTTGGATTTTGTCCGTTACTTCTACCGGATCTGGTAGACATGCGGCCAGTAGCTAGACCCAATGCCCTTAGCTTGCAACTGGCATTAGAAGCAGCCTCTTTGGGGAGTCAAAATCGCCCATCCAACATCCTTTGAAAGTTTTCAGCTGAAGCCCACGCATTCCCGCAGAAGGCAGAATCTTCCAGGTGTCTATTTGCAGAATCCTTGGCTGGTCGCTCTTAAGCTCACCTTTTGGAACGAGAGGCTCCTTGAGCTGCACTGACCATTGATCCGACCGGATCGATCCGGCGCTGAGGGGACGCTGTCGCGACTTGGCTCGATGGCGGGGCTGTAGTGAAGCTGCGCAGGTCTTTGACTTGTTGGTTGGCAGTAGATCAGGCAATATGTGGTCGGTTAGTCTCGTTTAGATCAGAGTTTGGCCTTGGCTAGTTGGTTCGATCTGATGCTATTTGCATGGGGGCGTTGGGCTACGCAGAGAGCAAACAATATATATATAGACACATGTGTGTGCTGGCCACTCAAACTTGGATAGAATTCAGTTGCTCAGCCTTCACTTGTTCAATCATATTTCGTCCAAGCTGACGCAAGAGGATCCTGCAATCTGTTTGCTTTGGCACCCATCTTTGGGCCGCAAGAGACTCCAACAGGCGTAGCGGCGTAACAGGAACTTATCTCATCAGGCCTTCACAGCCCACTCAACCACCCACACACACACACACAGCTGTCACGATGTTCTTTCATGTGCTCAACGTTAGAGCAGCAATTCCATCATCAGATCCGCAAGTTGCTTGGAGGTTCCTTAAACAAAAGGGGTGTTTTTTTGAAAGGGATGCAAAAAGAAAGCCACAAACTGTACGGGAGACGCGCATCTAGGTCCCCCAGTAGTGCCCTTTTACCAACATTTTTTGGGGGAGGGTTCCCCCACTAAAATAGACTATAGAAAAATCGGGTACCCTTATTCTAGCTGGAGGACCTACACATTCCTGACTTCTACACATTCCTGACTTCTGCATGCCGAGGTACTATTATAGCAAGCTGGCCCCGGAGGATGCTCCTGCTGTGGAGGGCGAGGAGGAACCCATCGCGGAGCGCAAGAGCAGCAGCCCGGAAGTCCACGTGGGATGCGACGTGGGCTGTTAGGGGTCAAAAGGAGTTCCTATTGAACCCATCCGGTTCAATTGTTTTTGCTAGTTGTTTTTAGTGGGTTTAGTGGTCGTTTCCATTTAGCCCACAAAAAGTTCAACTTTGGCAGGCGATTTGGGGATAGTCAAGGGATCAAAGGGGTTTCCCTATGTGCTTGGGCAATTGACTTTGAATGCATTTCACAGGTCTAGAAAGGGCTTGCACTAGCTAGCCGCACCTGTCCTTTATGCGTGACTTGGACGCTTTCTTTGAGGGCACCCTTTTAGAGTAGCTTTAGTGAACCAAAAGGATCACCATTTTTTAGTTTTGATTTGTTTCTTTCTTTCTTTTTGACAAGAACCGCTCGCCTTTGATCGGAGCTCGAGAAGTTGGCCCTCGGAGGCCCGGCCTTGCGAGTCGCTTTAGGACGATGGGGTCGTCTAGTCACGAGGCAAGGTGTCCTTTTGACTTAGCTTGGATAGAAATCCATCGACACAGAAAAGTCCTGGAAGGATTTTCGATTCCCCAACGCAAATACCAACAAGGGTCATGGTTTCAGCCATGGTTTCTGATGGTGCGAACGGATTTCGCGACCATCCATAGGTGTCCTTTTGATTGGTTTGGTGAACCGTAGATGGGCAAGTCACGGGCTTTGGGTGTTATTCGCCATTTCATTTACCATCTATTTTTCCAGTTTAGGTCACAACCAAACTTCGGGTCACGTTTTCCTGTGGCAATTTGTGCATCCGAAGTTCTCAGCTCGCGCGTCAACGGAAATTCCGGGGCAAGCAGAACATGTCGGATAGATCTCAAGGCATTTGGAGTTTGTAAAAAAAAAGCAAACATGTGAGAAATGGAATGACCCCCCAAAAAACAAATCGCATATGGTTTCATTTATTCGGGAATCCAACCAACACCGGCTCATTCAACCCAAGCCTGGAAAACCAGAAGCTGCGATTTCTCCGGAACCCGATGCGTGTCCGACTGGGACACGTGGGCTTATCTTCAAGCTTGAGCTCCCAGCTCATTCTTTGTCCCCTGGCTGTGGCTCAAAAAGTGGTTCCGAAATGACAAATGACACCTTGGTAAACGGAACCAAAGACTAAGACCTGCGTAACCGCAGCTCTTGAGTTTTGAGCCATGCCCAAGTATGACTATGGTATTTGGGGGACAAAAGCGGTTGGACATGAATGTTCATGTAAATGATGTCCGCCAGATAGATAGATAGATAAATACATAAATACATCACTACATAAACAAATAAAACAATAAATACATCAATAACTAGTTTCACAAATAACTGAATGAATGAGGAAATGAATGAATGTGAAGGAAGGAAGGAATGTGTATATATATATATATATATACACATACATAAGGATATGTCATGTTTCTCAAGTTGTTCGGCCCAGGCTATGGCTCCAATGCCTCCAATGCACGCTCGGAGAAATCTGGCGGCGGATGGTTCGGCCTGGGCGGAGGCCCCCCGAAATCGTTTTCGCCGAGAATTTTCGCCACAACACATGGGCTTGTGGGCGAGCCTTTATTTTTGGTTGGACAGGCCCCGTTGCGGTTGATGCTTTTTTTTTGGGGGGGGGAAGCTTTGGTGGAAGTGTCAATTGTCTGAAGCTTCTACGGCCAGAGAAAGCTTGCTCCGGATCGCATGGGGGATATCATTTGCTGTGCATTGAGTCCCATCATTTGGTTGCAGCAGGCTGAGCAAAGATGCTAGGATGCAGGGCCCCGTGAGGAAGATCTTGCGGGAGTCGTGGACAGAGGGTCTGTTCGAATCCCAACCACCGAGTCGAGCCTAGGGAATTGGAAGGAAGCTGCATGGAAATGGTTACCCGCCCAGAGTCCACTTGCCAACCCTTTGCCCAGCTTAGCCAGGATTTGCGTGCCCTGTAGCCCCTCATCTCTCTTTGACCAATCCAAAGGATCCCAAATTGGACCTCAGCGATCAGAGGGGGGCATTTCTACTTTGCGCCGCATTTTGATTCGACAGCATTGCCATGTTGTTTGTGTCAGATGTTTTGCATGGACTTTGAACGGTCCATTTTGGAACAAGATGCCCCTGAACCAAGTGAGGGAAGTCTTTCCGTATCCACGTTTGACAAGAGAGATGGGTTTCTTCAATCAAGGCTCCTTCTTTGGATATTAGGTCCAACTGCCGAACTTGATTCGTTGTTTGTTTAGTGTTTGTTGAGATTGCGAAGACTCTGAAGTTGTCAAGCTTGCTAACACCACGGACAGAAGGCATGCTCCTGAATCCAACGCCCACTCCAAACGATAGCTCAGCTCATCGCGAAGCATGAGATGCGAAGAGTTTGCACTTGGGCAAGCGCTCAACTTCCATGACAGAAGCTTCGGAATTGAACCCAACAGCATGGGGCGTCCTTCTTAGTTTAGCTTGATTAGAAATAGATGGCACTGGTTTAGATTGGTTTTATTCCATTTACCAGGGCCATCTTTTTCTTCCGAGAAGGATACCTGTGCCCCACAGGCTAAGGCTGCCAAGGCCGAACAAAAGAGATGCGAAGACAAGCAGCAACGAGCCGTCAAAGCTCGATTCGAAGATTCGGGCTTGGCAAAAACCACCTCACTCACCAAGCCTCCGGTCGTCGCCTTGGCCAAGGGCCCTGGAAGCTTCAGACTGACAAGCATCCATTCTGCCCCAAGCAACTTGAGCTATCAAAACGCGGGTAGATGAAGGTTAGCAAGGGGCAGTCCCAGTCGGAAATAGCTGCGGATATCCGCCTTCTTAATTCTCTGCATGTTTCTGGGTTCACGATTTGTGTACCAGGTTTTGATTGTGACCCACTTGCCAAGGCGGCAAGCGTGACTCTGGCAGCGCAGCGGATGAGGCGCTGCAGATTTCCATCGGTCGGTGGGGGCAGCGGCATCGTTTCAACTGTTTTTTCTGACCGTCGCCGCGGGTCTGGCGAGCTCACAGATTGTAGCGGTGAGTAAGTTTGCAATGAACCGCGCCGTGATTTTTTTTTCAAAAGGGCTAGTGCCAGTTCGGTGCAGGATACTGTGAGACGCATTCTAATTCTTGTCACGAAGATTCTCAAGTTGACAAGTTGATGTAGCTGGTGCTGAATGTTCTTCCCTGAACCACCAGCGAACAGCAATGCTCCCCACCCCATCATTGTGTTTCTGAGCTTGTGGCAAACATTATGACACCTAGCAATCCCTGCTTGAATTCGGGTCGTTCAGGCATGGAAAGATCAGGCAGCAAGGGAGCCAGAGGGAATGCCCTGGTCTTTCAATCGCTTTCCCTTTTAATTTCATTTAAGAGGGCGTTCTAGTTGTGTGACAAGAGCGGCGCAGTTATCAGCATGGCAGCTTTAAGGCCTGGCGTGAATCAAGGCACTGGAAAAGGGACGGATTGGCTCCAGCACTTTTGCCCGGGGGTCCATTTGGCTCTTTCCAATGGCTCTTTGACGTTGGGTTGTGGGCCTCAAGGGGTTTTTCCAACCACTGTGATACCTAAGGGAATCTCCCCCTTATGGGGGGTTAGTCTTTGGGAAGCCCTTTATCACAGAAGTGGATTCCATTCCCCACAGCCCTGCTCTTTGTTGGGTAAACGCTCGCCTTTGCGTCGTCCCTCTTCGGGCTGGAAGGGGTGACGCATGGGTGCATCACTTTTCGATGTCAGGAGCAGCCGGATGACAAAGCTTACGAGTCGGGTGGGAAGCTCAGAACTCACAGGAATGAAGCACCGAATTTGCAGTGAGTAGGGAGCAATGCAGACAGTGACGTAGAGAGTTGCACATTTGGCAAGCGTTTGGCTTTCCTGTTGAGCTGGACCCTTCTTCAAGATTGAGGCAGTTGGTTGGTTGTTTCTGATGCGGGTCAAATTTACACCAATCACTCAAGCTGTGCACTGAATGGTGTGCATGGTTCCGCAAGAAGGATGCTTGACGGAATGAACCTGCTGTTTCCGCAACTCCAAAAGTCCTCTGGGTCCAGACGTCTGGGCGCCATGATATCCATAGCTCGTTGCAACTGGATTGCTTGATTGCAGCTGGAGAGGCTGCTGTCAAGAGCCATATGGTTCAACCGAGCACATGAAGCCTTGGGGGCGAGGACGTTCCCGAAACTGCTTTCCCTCGATAAACCGGATGTTGGCTGCGGATTGACAGCGCGCTGTTGCTGAATCGTTTGAAGTTGCATTGTCATGGTCATGAGCTCATGAGGGGCTGCTTTGATGTGGCTGGAATGCTGGGGCGGGATCAATGAGTGCTGGAAGGGCGCTTGAAATTCCTTTCCAGCTGGGTGTTGGTGTGTAGCCTATGGGATGAAGTGTTTCGATCAGTGGCTTCCGCGGCAGACATTGGCGTTGGTCCGGGTTGCTTCAGTCGCTCAAGACATCAAGACGACCATGCTGTCTACCAACTAATCCTTGTGGTGCCCAGAGGTTTCGTTTAAGAGCAAGGATGTGGAATTTCAGGGGCAAATGCCAGGCAAGCCGTGTTTAAAGCATGTTCTCCATGGGCTTTCGCTGATCAGTGCCGCTCAAAGATGAGGTTCTTCCTTGCATTTGAAGCTTTCACGCCTTAAATACACCACATTCATGAAGCCACCTTCCTGCCCGCCCAGTGAGCGAAGCAAGCACGCCGAAGCAGAAGGGATGGTTCTCGTGGCCTCTTGGCAGACGAGAGTGTGTCACTTCAGACTGTGCCACATGCACAACAGGTTTCTGCTTTGGGTGTGAATCTTTGAATTCAGTTCTCTTTGCTCGCTTTCAGAACCAGGAGTCGGGAAACAAATATGTGAGAATCAAGTAAGCGGGGTTAGCAAGTTCTTAGCTAGACTGGGAGTGGTCGATTGGAGTACTTGCTCGAGGCTTCACGGCCCTTTTGCTGATAGATGCTCGGCCCAGATGTTCAAGGGCCTATCGCCCAGGGGCAGATGACCAAAGGCGCCAATGGACTCACTGAAAGAAAATTCTGATCTATCCTGAGGCTGGGACGGGCTGTCAAGTCGCTTTGGTGACTATGTCTATGACAAAGCCGGCTTCTTGCTGGCTTTGCTTAACTTTGCTTCGTGCGTTGCTTTGCTTGTTTGCTTTGCTCGCTTTTTGCTGTGTGTGTTTTTCCTCGCTGACCTCGGGGACCACATAGAAACTTTGCCTCGGGCTCCTAGTGATGGGAACGAAGGGGAAATCGCAATTTGGGGCTTCCAAATCCTACATGGTTGTTGGTCGGAAACATTTTGCATTTTTGCTTATTGTGGGTTAGTGGGAAATCCCCACTTAACTGCCCACTTCCATCGTCAACCAAGCCTACTTTTAAGACACATCTGGACCCTTCCGCTTTTTTCTCTCTTTTTTCTACCTCTACCTGCACCGGGAAGCAGATCTGGGATCTGGGATGCCTGAAGACGCAACCATTTGGGAAGGGTTCCTTATATCTCTTGGACATATCTCCGAAATGCTTGGTGTCATTCTATTTTTGTTTGGGTTGTGATGGAATTTGGATTGGTCGTGGAATTTTTAATCACATCACTTTCAGACTCTCCCCATCCATGCATTTGGTTCTTCTCCTGACAAATGGGTATGAGTCAAAATTAAGCCACCAGGGGATCGCGGAATTTAGTCATGTGTTCTATTTAGCAGGGTTCCATATTGGGTACCTATTCTTGACCCACACCCAAATCCTTATTCCCCAGCCCAAGCGCCCGATGGCGAACTCTCTCCGCTCCGTTTGGATGTCGCGCAGGGCCCGGCGCCTGGTGAGACGCATCCCAAAAGGGCATGCGAAGAAAAAGCCAGCAGCACAGATCCGGTCAGATTGAAAGCAGCATGCGTGACGTGTATGTCAGCTCGCACGGCGACTGTTAGTCATGGGACTGCTGCCCACCTGGGAATGGGGGGTTTTGCTGCGCATTGACATGCGGACATTCTCGACTCCATGTCCCGCACCTTGAGAAAAATGATGCGACATGAACCAAGCGTCGGTGGATGTTCCAAACTCATGCTCGCCAGATTTCAACGGCTTGCCGCCTGAGTTTTTCAAGCTTCCAAAACGACAAGGTGCTGATCACGGTGCACCATGTTTGCCCGTTGAGTTTTGGGAGCCAAGGGCAAGGCCGGCTTATTGACTTGGCGTACATCCAATCACACCGCGTCACAGCTATCATTCGGATGCCAAAGAAAAAGACGCGGCAGCCTTTTGCAGGCAGCTCCGAGCAAGCGAAGCTATCGCTTGCTCTCCCAAGAGTCGCCGCCATGCCGACTTACGATGTGGAGGGCGTCCCGGTGGAGTTCCCCTACGAGGCCTGCATGTGGGTTTGCCAAAATGGGGCAATGCGGTCAGAAAGGAGTGCTTGACTGACTTGACCTGGCAACAAAGTCAGAGAATTCGGGAATGAGCTGTTTTGCAAAAGAGGATTCGGGAGAGGCCAACCACGCTCTGCCTGAGCATCAGGGAATGAGCATTTGCCATCCTGATTCTTGGTCATGCCTGACCCGCTTCGCCCGACATTGGTTTCGCCGTTTGCATGTCGGGCACTTTGTGTGTGTGTGTGTGTGTGTGTCCCCCCTGTTTCTAAGGGGTTCCGCGGCTGTGTCTATTTTTGGAGTCGGCCACCACCGCCTTGGATGATCTAGCATGGAGTAACTAACGCACTGCTGGCGGTCCGGAAGAGGAGAGTGCGTTGGCGAAAGATGTCTAGACTTCCTCGGTGCCGAAACTCCATTGCCCTGTCGGAGACCTTCAAACAGCCTGTGCCTGCATGGGGGTGCACATTGTCAGTTTCGCCGTCTCATATCAAGTGTGTTTAGGCACTGCGTCCGGGCTTCGGTCAGTGTCTTGATCCCCTTTGCGGGCACCTGTTATGACCCATGTACCGACACCTTCTTCAGACAACCACCGGACCTTGTCGCTCGCGACTCTGGACTTTTTCCATTGACCCTTCACCACAGGCTTGGACATGTCCCGGACGTTTCAGCACCCCAGATTATTTCATGGTTGAATTTCCCAGTTGACCTACTGCCAGACTACCTGACATATCAGGCATGAATCCATGACGCCGTCAGTTTGCTCTTGGCTCGCAATTGCAGGCAACAGATGCCACGGCCCAACGCAGGTCCGATGTCGAACTCAGCAGGCCCCATGACCAAGGCATCCAGGAACACTGCGGGCCCTACGCCACCCAGATCACCAGTGAGCCAGACAGCATCACCGAGCAGGAGTGCACTTGTGACACCAACCTCCAGCATCTCTGGCACGTTGTCTAGTACCTCAAGGGCTACCAAACCTTCGGTTCCAACCCTCGCTCCCGGTGACGCCTCGGCATCGATCCCTGCTTCACCTACCTGGCCTGCATCCGTTGCTGGCCCACTGCCGCAAGTCCTGGTGAAGGCGCGCCCAGCAACCCCGATGACTCCAATGACTCCAATGACACCGACTACCCCAACGGCTCCAGTTACAGCATGTCCATCTCAGACCACCGCACCGACCCCTATCGCACCGACCCCTACGGCAACTCCATCAGGTCAGATGCTACCACCGACCAACCCACCGGCAAGATCACGCCACGCAACGGAGGGAGAACGGTCACGTTCCCATAACGCATCCCCCTACTCCAAGTCAGTGCCTCCACAGCGTCGCAGTCGAGCTCGCTCCAGGACGCCACCACCGATCTCCCGAAGGGACGCAAAATCGGATAATTCAACCACGGCAGCACCGGCTCTCGCCGCGTCGGCGCCCACAGCAGCTAAATCCTCATCCCGAGTGCCTACGGCAACTAAAGCTTCATCCCGGCGGCCAAGAAGCAACAGATCCCCACTTCCGCGCAGCAGAAGCAGTGCCCCATCGGCTCCAGCCTCCAAGGCCACCGGTGCTCATCCAGTCACGGAGTCATCCTCGAGAAGCATGCAGCTGCGTCCCAATCCGCAGGCGCACCCACCGCTGATCCTGCTTCCCAACCCGGAGTCCGACCCGTGGAGGAACGAACTTCAGGTGCTCGCCTCGCCGTACGTCCGCGACGGGATCCCGGTCAATCAGGAGCAGATGGACTATGTGGCCGCTTCTCTAAATGCAGCAGGCATACCATCTCAGCACTCCACCCTGAACTATGCCAAGGTCAACCCGGAACATCACTACTCCAAGATCACTCCACACTGGTTCATGCTGACCATCCCCTACCTTGGCGCCACAGTTCGGCTCAAGGAACCAACGAAGACGCGGCCCATGCTGCTCTGGACTCACGCATCCAGTGTCGGCGGCACCAGAGGCATACTACGAAGCCGGCAGATACATCCTTCCCGGCAGCACTCCTCGGAGTGCCCAGCCTTTTACGCCCAAGGTTGGAAGATCACTGGACACGCCGATTAAATTATGATGCTGAAGAAATTGCCCGCACGATGAGCCAGAATTGGAGCATGTCTTTCAACATGGCCCAACTGCTGCTGTTTGGGCGCGCTGTCGGTACCTGTCAGCCGATTCGTTCAGGAGGAGAGCAAGCTTGCATTGAGGCCTTGGATTCCAGTGAACGTCCTGACGTCATCCACTATGTGTCGGGCAAGTGTTGGATGGTGATCCCGGAAGCAAGCCAGATCGTTGGACTCGCATGGCCTACCGACGCGAAACCGCCCGCAGGTGTCCTCCGCTCGTGAACCTGCACCAAGAGCTGCTGCACCCGATGACAATTATTGATGTTTCATTGCAAATAAGAGCATTCTTCGCCACACTGCCGTCTTCGACCACCGACGATATTTTGCGACAAAAAGTGCACGCTAGGGCCTTATGACTCAAGCACGACTTTATTTTGTTGGTCTTCTTGAGGTTTTCATTTGCATTGTGCTGACCTGCTGTGATGATTGCTGTTTCTCGTTTACATTAAAGGCTCTGGGCTTGGTTGCAAATCTTTTGTCGTTTCGACAATTCGTGCCGTATGCCTAGCGTTTAATCAATCAATCAGCAAGTGTCGAAGATGAACCCCCATCCCGTGATGGCTTCTCAGTGGACCTATTCGTGGCAGGCGACGTCGGCACCCTCCTCCTCGCAGCCGGGGTCCTCGTACCTTCCATCACGGTCAGTACCGCAGTCTCAGCAGGAAGCCTATTTGAGCTCCAATCGGATGGAATCCATGCAGCACCAACCTTGAGAAGAAGCAGCAATCCGAGTCAATCCTCCTCGGCCTCCACATAGGGCTCACCAGTTCCCTCCTCAGCCTCCTGGTCAGTTCTACAACTATCATGGCGGTGGCACAACCCACATGCAGACAGGTCCTCGGCCCCCACCACCAGCACCACCAGTTCAACTTCAGGCCCGTGCACCCCTAGGCCAAGGCGATGCAACGCAGTACACTCAGCCTCGATATTCGCAGCTACTCCCTAGCACCTTTCAATCTGATGACATCTTCCTCGACAAGACGGAAGTCCGGGGCCTGCAACTATACCGTCACATTCAACCCACTCAGTGGTCCAGAAGAGTCGGGCTCGCAGGAACAGCAATCTTAGATCTCCCACTGACACGTCTTCTTCGAGGAGGAGCAGAAGATCACGCACTCCGAGCGCTGTCGAACGGGCGACACAGTACACCGGTAATGGCTCAGACAATAGCCGAGGCGGTGTTATTGACATCAATTCTCAAAGCCTTGAGAGGCAGGGAGGTCGACGTCGACCGGACGGCCCGCTCTCTCCACGCGGACAATGCGCCGGACAAGCGCAACGAGGCTATGCAGTTTATGGAGCCACTTGCGCTCAAAATCGTGGATCTCATAGAGTCGCTGCAGCCCGCCAAGCAGGAGAACCTCACCCGCCACAAAATTGCCGAATTGGAACAACAGCTTGAACGCTACAAGAACAAAGGCATCACTCTCACACCGGACAAGAAGCAGCCATCCTCGTCTCCTTCCAATACCGCATCATGGACTCCCACACCCGGCCGCTCTGACCAGTCCCTCTACATCAACGCGGCGATGTCGGATGCTCAGGGACCTCCCCTACCAGTTCCATCTCCGGAGGCTGATCCAGCTCCCAAAAGACGGCCGGCAAAGCGCAAGACCCCGGAGGTTGCCCCGGACATCGCACTAGATCCAGAACTTCTACGTCAGGGCAATCCCAAGGGTCAACAGGTACCACTTCCCGCCAGCCTCACGGACAAAGTCTTCAAAGCGTGGTTGCACGAACGCACGCTGTCCAACCAAGCGACTTACCTCGATCGCAAGTGGGGCGCCACCATCTCCTTGGTGAGCAAGGGATCGAAGCGAGCACTCCTACAGTTCATCACGGTTCTGTACATGTATGGAAAGTGAGAGGCGAGATTGTAGCGCTCACGATGAAGGACGTGAGCACGCTGTGAAACGACTGGCACAAAAGGCCCTGCTGCTCGGTGCGCTTGAACCTTGCCCTGAGACCATCAGTTGGCGTTTCTCTTTCCCTTTTCGTTTTCCGGTTCTTTTTCTTTTTTAGGATCCTGGGGTTACGAGCCGGTGTCGTTTTAAGTTGATCCACTTAACAGTTCAGTGCTCGAGCATGTGATGCATGGCTAAGCCATGCCGGTCATTCAATCTCCGGAGACGGTGTTTCTTTTGCAGCTCTACGGCAAGTATGAACGGTCAGAACTATGTGGTGCTGCCAGACACTATGGTATTCCTGAGCCCTCGTGGCCAGTCAGCCTGCAGCATGGCACCGACTATTTCCTTCCCTACCTCACGGCGCTTATTGCACTAAGACTCGGCGATTCACTCGACGTCCACGCATCCTATCAATATTATCAGGTCCTCTATCTGATCGTCATCACAAGTCGCAGAATCCTCAACATGCCGATGGTCAATAAGCAACTATCTATGTGGGCCGAGTCCCTGTCCACGCTGCTCATGGTTCATCACTACGGTCGTCCCACGCATGCGCTTACAGAACTCAGGCGCCGACTACGACGTTTCCGCATCCACCCGAACATGTACACTTTCACCCACTTCTCGCAGCCCAATGCGGTGTACTGGAAGCAGCGAGTCGAACTCCGCCCGGACCTTCCACGCTCCGTCAACCCGCAGTCTGATGTATACATTGGAAGCACCAGCATCACTTATCCCAGTCGAGAGCACAATCGTAGAGCCAAGTTGCTGGGTATTCAACACGGACAATTTATCAATGCGGAACCAGCACTCAGATGGTGGCATCACTTTGACAACTATGACGAATTTGCTACTTGGGTCATCCTGACAGACCCCGACCACAAGGTCACCTGGACTCAGGAACATGCCTTGATCAGCATTTATCAGCCGTCGCTTAATTGGCCCTACATTCATCGGCGACACAAGCGCATCTCCACCGGCTACACGGCCACCAGGTTTCTTGCAGAACAACCCTGGTCCAGGTTCGGCAAACGCCTTTTCCTCCGGTTGCGCAGAAGGAGTTGCGCAGTCTATGGCAGGAACTTTCATCGAGTGGCGCTCAAACACACTCAAGCCTGGTCCATCATCGCCCGCCTCACCTCGGAGCACATTGAATCCTGGGAAGAAGAAAAACGACTCCGTAGTGGACGGCGCTCGGACTTGGACATCTATGCCATCTACAGGTTGTCTGGTAATGTGGAACAGCCTCATCGGCATCGAGTTCGCAACATTCTCCGACGAGTTCTTGATTTCCGTCAACTTCAGCAACCCAGGATCAATTTGTTATTGCGATTACCGTGGCTGTCCCACCCACATTATCAACGGACCACCCGAGAAGTTCTTCGTCGTCTCGTCCTCGACCACCGCAACTGGGCCCTTCCATTCCACTTACCCAGTACGAAGCTGGCCGAGACTCCTCATCCTCGAGTCCACACAGTCATGTGGAACTTCTCGTCATTTCAGGACTGCTACCCCTGGACATCCCCAGGACCATCATCGTGTCAATGCGAAGCCTGGCTAAAACGTCAGCCCTGGCTATCCCATGTTCAAGGTCATGTGGCAGCGGGATTAGATGAGTTCCGGTTTCCCGGAACCCCCCATCACGTTCACTACACTTCAGCACTGGCGTCGTATTATGTGGACTTCTCGGCCTACGAAGTACAAGTTCATGAACGCTTACGGAAATGGTGCTTGCATCACGGACACCCCCTGGACCAGTTCCACGCACCTCTCATGGAGCACCTGCGCAGTCAATTCAAGCAACATCGGCAGCACGCATCTACCCATCAGCTCCTTACCAAGCATCAACTCAACATCCTGCATCGACACCTCGGCCAGGACTTTGTATGCCACAACGAGGATCACGACAACCACCACCTCATGTTCTTCTGCCCTCAACTCTACTTCAAAGGCCTCCACAACACCTGGCTTCAGTCTGGCACCTTTGCAGCTACTCCACTGAAGCCCGATCAAGCCGGGGCCCTTATTCTTGAAGCCATTCCGCAGCACCTGCAGAAGCGGTACAAATGGGCGTACAGGAAGAAGACCACCTCCATCCCGGTTGGAAAAGTGTTTTTCAAGCGCAAGAAGCAATGGAAGTCGGGGCGGACCATTATACCTACCATAAGGTGGTGCATCGGCAGCTCTTCAAAGCAGTCGCAATCCTTCTCGGCGAGATTGCAGCCGACACATGGAAATGTTCATGGGGGATACACCCCACACCGAGGATATGGCAGAACATCAGTACTTTGACAACACAGACGATACAGTCACCCTTGCCTTCCACAATGACGATTTGGTCGGATTCTTCAATAGTGTCCCTCAGGATCAAGTGTGTGCAGCAGTTGAGCAGCTACTAGCCGAGCACCAGCGAGAGCGACCCGGTCTCGTGTATTCAGTGGAAACCCAGGCAGCTGTCCACTACAATCGGGTGTTTGCGGGCAAGCAATCCTACGGACGTACGCCGACCACGCGTGTCATTTACATGGAGGACATCCTGAGTATCGTCGTCAAGTCAAGCTTCCAATGCATGTATGTCCAGGTTGGAACTCTCATCCTGCGCCAAGTCCATGGTACAGCGATTGGCTCTCAGCTGAGCCCAGTACTCAGCCACATATGCGTCGCGAGGCACGAAGTTATCTGGCAGCGTATCTACGGACAATGGTTTACCAGTCACAACATCTTTTTGGAGCGATATGTGGACAACAGATTTGTCATCTTCCCGTCTCCAGCCTCAGGTCACCCGGCAGCTCCATTGGAGGCTCTGCTTCAGGCTGACTTTTACGGCGCTCCCATCGTGCTGGAACAGGTGGGGTCTTCGGAGTTCCTCGGCTTCGTCAGCGATGTGGGCGACCGGGCGATTTACTACAAAACCCCAAGCAAAATCTGGCAGATAAGAGGACCTCACACTGCAGCAAGCCTCTCCACCCTTCTCTCCGGGGCCAGATCGCGGTCAGCCCTCGCCACCAAGTATGCGCACCCAGCCAGAGCAGTACAGATGGCACTGGATCAGCTCCGCAGTATTTATCTGTCCGCCGGCTACAAGTTAGCTGACCTGCAACACCTGTTTCATCTTTCGGCGATCCCAACCAGAAAGAACCTTTAAGCGCCAGTTTGTCGCCGCTTTTGATGTTAGGCATTGTGGCTCTCCTTTGTCTCTTTTCGGTTTTTCTCCGGACCTGTTTTGGCTCATCTTGGCTTCTGCGTTCTGGCGTCAGTGTTTCTCTTTGGTTTTTGGTCCTTGATTTTTGTGTTGATCACGGAGCTCATTCACTGGTTCAAAAAGTATTGGCCTTCTCGCCGATCCCAGAGATCTGTCGCCATGCTCGGCCGCATGATAGCACTTCATCATCGCATGACCCAGAACGCTGCGGATATGATGCAGCTCATCCAGGAGACCTTGAATCAAGCTGACGAGGCACACAGTCGCCGGCACCATGACGGGCAAGGTAGCTTGCAGCAACAATATGTCCGCGGCTGGTCGCTGGCAGAGTCATCGCGGCCACGAGCA